TGGTCAATTGACAGCTGTCATAAAAAGCTATCCACTGACCACTGTCACATGACTGTATCGCGGGTTCAAGTGTTAACTCATTGAGGTGACGTGTTTTTTTTTCCGTTGTTTTTAATTGTATTCATTTTCAGAATAGCGCTTAACAGGCCAGATAATAAATCACTTATTAACCTCGTCCGTTCGAAAATTACAGGGAAATCTCAGACCTCGGCCTTGATGTATTGACCGAGCCATCCCTGTAATGAGCTGTGATTGCTGTTTGGCTAAAAATGTCTTATGCTTTCTTGTGATTGGCTTATTTACCTCCGGGTTAATTAATAAGTCAGTATATAACTCTCAGCATTTGCCAGGGCGGGGGGAATTATGCACCCATATGAAAAGCCGAGAAACATGCACACCCCGTTTGTTCTTCATGCACACAAATATGCCTCAATCACGATACAAGGGCGATCATAATAAAATTGAAGTGACTTAAATTGGACGACGAATCCTGTAAAAGACAGAGTGGGTCCGTTTAAGGAGATTGTCACCATATAAAGCCTTGTTTCATGACCTCGTATTAAATGGTGAACCAGATCTTTTTAAATATCTGGATAAAAGTACAAACTTTCTCTAGCTTTGGTCAAATAATACGCCTGAGTTTCTCCAGCCGGAAGTTAAGTCCGACTTTTAGGCTTACATCTGAACTTGTAGCACATCCCATTAAAACCTCATGCCGGATGTCAGTTATTATCATTACTTGTTTTTCACCTGGCTCTTCAAAGACAAATCGCGATCGGCCGTAAAACTGAGTCTGCAGTCATAGAAAGCGCGCGTGAAGCAAAATTTGTATCCATTCCCTTCGCACACTATCTACTTATTAGAGGCTAAACTTGTTGTTCAGTGAACAAGAAAATTTATGGAGGACTTAAAGCGTATTGTGAGGCCGATTTCGAAAGATTACCTACTGATCCTTAGTTTCCTTCTTTTGAATTATTATGGCCAAGAAAATCGAATTTCAAATTTAGCCGTGTTTTGATAACATTCAAAGACATTCGGTGAAATTCATTTCCCTTCGTGAAATAATACTGAATTCAAAGGAACCCGGGAGACGGGGGGGGGGGGGGGGGGGGGGGGNCCGTATCACGTGACTGCAGGGCTTGCCACGAGCTGGCCGGCTAAACTGTCGGATAGAAATTGCTTCCGCACAAAAAGCTATTTTCACAGGTAATTTGGCGCAGCAAAGGCGCTTTGTTAGCGGCCATGTGAGAGAAGAGGACAACGCAAATTCCCTGATGCGGTAACTGAAACGAGGCATACACGGATTGTGCTCTAACTGGGCATTTGGGTACCTCTCTACCTTAAAAAAGAAGCGTTTGACTACGAACGTCTGCAAGGGAGGCTACATCAACTTACATTTCGACGAACAGCAAAGGAAAAAAATCAACGATTTCCAAGCGGTCGTAAGTATCTCTGAAGCAGTCTGTTTTACCTAAAAACAAGGTAAAACCTTTTGTATCCACACGAATCCTTTCCAGTTAGGTCAGCGAAACACCGAGTTTGTTTAACCTTCGAGATACTATCCACAAGCTTCGAACAACGGCAAACCGAACAATCTTTAAGGTTCGTTTACAAGACCGAAAAACAACGAATTCAGTTTCAAGATTTGAAGCAAAACGTTCTTTTTCCTCAATGTTACTTGCGCGATTTTCTTACGCACAATAACTGGTCATTTGGCGAGCTCATCCATAAACATTACACTCAGAAAATTTTACTCTCTAATAGAGCGGTTATTCAAACGAAGTCTAACTTGCAAATAGACGACAGGCTTAGAGGATAATCTGTAGATTATACGAGGGTTATGGTGGCTAGATTATTGTTTTCCTAGACTGCACCAAATACCTTCTCAACATTGTTTATGGTACGCGGCGTTTAGACATTACAGTTGGCCAAATTAAAAGTGGCTTATAAAGCGGATTTGTCACACACTGGCTAATCCCCGTTTACATAAACGGTCCTTTATGTTTTGGAAACAAATACAAATTTCGATTGGTGCATGTAAAGATAAGGCAAGAAACTGAACAGTCAGGATAAAATTCCGAAAGTTCCACGAATGGACTGGAACGGATTTCAGAACTTTCGGAAAAAGAGGAACACCCCTTGAGCTAAAATTACCGTACTGTTCCGCATCATTCGACTTTGGTCTCGGAATTTTCAGGATTTTCGGTTGGTTGGTTCGCGTTTCAAGAACTTGACAGTTCTCAGACTTTCCGGAAAATTTCCGTAACATTCGTTCGCATGTCGAGATTTCCAGAAATTCTAATCAAACGGATTGCGGTGCGGATTTCGGAAAGGCGGAAGCAACAAGTACCTTCTTATATTTCTTTCACTTAAATTATCCGCCAACGAAATCAGAATATTTCAAGATCCGGAACGTTGAAACTGCATCATCTTTCGCAGTCCTTTACTTAGGATACCCATTCCAAACTTCGTCAACAACGTACTTTGTTGAGTAAAGAATGTTAGAAGACGTGCGAGCCAAGTTTGAATTGTTATGTCTCGAAATAAATAATTTTCTTTATAAGTTATTGTTTTGTATTTCCCCCAGACTCACTGGTAGACATAACAATTATAGTCTTGGCAGTAATCGCTTTAGTCTTTGTATAGTACTTGTGTTTTTCTTTGCAATCATTGTCGCCTATTTTTCCCCAAAGTGTTTGTGATTGAACACATAACAATCAAGCGTCTAGTAGCTTTTTATCTTCTTAATTCTGCCGTTTATAATAAATAGCCTAAACAACTGGAAGTGTTTAAGTCGGCCTTTCCTTTTCATTTTTCTCGCTTGCAATTTCGTTTCCGTTTAACTCGTTTCCACTTATTATAAGTGGTTCAACTTCGCTGTTTATGTTTTTTTTCCGAGTAGTTGTTCGTAGACAAGACGATTCTTCGCGTCACGTCGCGTGGATCGTTGAGTTCACATGACAACGAAGTAAATTTCAAGAGGAAAGTGCACCTGTTAAGTGCCAACATCCCACCCGGGGGGGAAGGGTGGGGCGCGGTGGTAAGATGAGTTTGATAAACTCAGATAAGTCGATGAAACCGTGGTGGAACGAGAGAGAAATTCACAAGGTCGTTCACAAGAGCATGTAAAGAAACGTTAAATTTCTGCGCCTTTTTCGAATAGCAGGCACTAAAATAGAAGGAAAAGTCACCGGTAATAAGCGAGGTGGGAATTACGACAGCATAACCGAAAGCTATTCGCAAGAGCAAGTAAAGCAAAGCATAAAAAAGCCACATTGCTTCATATTGGCCGCATTGCAGGGAACAAAAAAAAGAGAGAAAAATTTCCTGTCGAAAACAAAATGCATCACAAGAAACTGCCCAAAGCGGAGAAACCGCAAGTGACAATATTGACTCAGCTTGTACGGCGTTCAAAAACACATCGATTTACCGACAAATTATATTCCACTCTTTCAGCAAGTAAATCGACTGGCCGAAATAAATATACAAGTAACAGCAAATCACATAATAAATGATTCCTGACCAAACAACGTAGCAGAAGCGCTTTTAGCGAGTTGAGTACTTTAATTTTCACGCCACGAGCAAATCAAACTTATTTGAGGAGGGAAAAAGAAATGTTTGCTTTCGCGGCACGAACTGTAATTGTTTTCACTTGCTTTACGGGAAATAAACTCTTGAGCTACAATTTCAAGTGACTTTCGACTGGCTGAGAGGCAAGAAATTCCTCTGTAAATTTGCATAGGCTTCGTAGATCAGTGTATCATGTTCTGAAAAAATTCTACGAAAGCAAAACGCGTTACGTTTTCGAAACGAATTAACACAAGAGGCTGTATAATAAAGAAAGAAAGTCTTAATCTTTCTTCTTTCTTTTGAAAATCAATAAGTGGAAGATCGAAAGTAATTTGCACCTTCTTTCATAACCAATCATAATATATGCAACCCTTGGAAACGTGATAGAAAACACAGCATATAATGCAAATTTAGTTAGAGCATAATCGAATCGCAGTGTTGCTAACCTTAGGATGCTCTTAAGAGCAGCACAATCAAAACATTGACGAGTTTGACAAGCAAATCTTGCTCAACATATCAGCGATTTTAAGCGTCAGAGACAAGGCCAATGTTTGTTTGCCTGGGCAATTTTTCTTTTTGACGAGTTTGCGAAAACGGATAGAAAATCAGTTGATATTAAACGCAGGAGAATTTCAAGAAGAACCCACTAAGAGGTACGGTATTTTTACGGAAACAAATGCGAGCGAAATTTAAGCTGCCGTGAGTCATTTCTTATACGTTTCACCTGTCTTCGCGTACAGAAACGACAAAGTAATAATTTGATTTTGCTTGCATTTTAAATAGGCTGCTATCTCGACAATGGCCGAACGCGCTCCGAGTGAAGTTAAAGACACGCTGAAACGGATTGAAGAACATCCCAACGTGGTTGGCGTGATTATAATGGACAGAGATGGACAGCCAGTCCATAGCACATTAGACGCTATGGAGACGGCATACTACATTAGGCAGTGCAGCTCGTTAACGGCGATCGCCAGGGGAACAATACGAGAGACTGATCCAACGGACGATCTTCAGTTCTTCCGGATTCGAACAAAGAAGTTTGAAATCATGCTCGCGCCAGAGCGCGACTATCTACTCATCGTCCTCCAAAACACGACAAAAACGCCGGGGAAATTCGCTTGAGGAAACAAAAAACGCCGTGTTTGGGAAAAAAGAAACCATTTGCTTTCACGAACCAAATTACTTGACCACAAAATTTAAAAGGTACAAATTTAATTTGAACTTCTGCAATGGTCTTTTGCGCTTGGATCAACGTTTTCCTTTCGCTCAGTAAGAAAGTCTGACTTTTGTTTCGAGCCGTTCAAGGACTCCTTTGTTGAGCCTTACTTTATTTTTAATTTTATGATGTAGTAAAACGAAAACGATGGCCTTTGTTTCTTCGTGTTGTTGATGGATTATTGCCAACAGGTGCAGACCGTAATTTTATTGTCCTCATCAATATTTAAATCGTTTTTTTTCTCTCCTTGTTGATCAAAAACCACAAGGCTGAAAATTGGGTTTGAGTTTTGTAACACACATAAACCTCATTCAAAACACTCAAAATCTGTGGTTTTTTCAAAACCACAGAATCCAGCGGATACGACATATGTATTTAATTTATTCCTAGAACCTAGCGACGACTTGTTATAATTCCACAGGAACTGTACTTCCATGTTTCGCATTTAACTACTAACGACACAAAAATTTGTACAAAAACGTTGAATAAAATGAAATGTAGTAATGGAATGAATTGTAGAATTAGGCCTTAGAATTCAGCTTCAGGGAGAACGATAGAGTTTTAACCTTTCCTCTAGGGTGAATTATGTTGTCATATAATCTACGGAACTCTAACTTTTGAGTCTGTGGATGAAATCCTTTGGTGCAACGATTCAAGTGAAAGCTACTTCGTAGTACATTCACATGGTTCTATTTATTTTGTTACTATTTAATAACCTGAAATTTTGAATTTCTCTTCAACGTGTTGATTGGGGGTACTCTTTGAGCAAAAGGTTAAATAAAAAAATCCCATCGCAAATTGTCTTGCTTTTTTTCGCTTTGCCGCTGTTCAGAAGGCTGTTGTCTTGCCGGAACTTCTGAGGAACCTAAATGTGGAGTAAACAAAATCAAAGTTAGTTGTAAAGACAGAAAAGAAAGATTTCATTCTAGCTGTAAATTTGTGTGATAAAACTGTCTGCGTTGTTTTTTTTCAGCTTCAAATGTTTTCATATCCCTCCAACGACAGAAAACAAAGACGCGTGACTTAAAGTAGTAACGAATTCGTTCTGTGAGCTAGAATAATCCGATGTCAACGATAAATGTTGCTTACCAGGCTCGAAGGACCATGTTTAGTCCTTCTTTATTTGTAAGTGCAATAAAGTTGTAAAGGATTCCAATGACAGGAAAAAAATACCACACCTATTGTCGGACAAGTTGTATAATTCGCGATCTTTAATCGCTCCTTTAACAACAACTTAACATAAAGGACCACGCAAATTGCAAATGATAATCCAATTCCTTCGTGGCGAGCGCCCAGTGGACTGCCAGGAATAGGTTTAAAACTCACCATACTATTAAATCGCTACATACGCGGGATTTCAGCGTTCGGATCCGTTAACAAGCTCCAGTCGGTACCTATGCAAAAGCCGATTCTTCTTCTGTGTTCGAGTACCTTCTTTTCCTCCAGATCCGCCCACCGAACCTGAACAACACAAACAAGTAATCACAAGTGAATATCAAAGGAGCTGAATATGTCACGGCTGTCTGGTTCATTTTGTTACTAACGCAAATTACGAGAACTTATTCGAAGCATCTTCGGACATTTTCCGCAATGTTCGGAAGTCTTCGGAAAATCGTCGGAAATGTTCGGAAATTCAGGTAACGACAAGACGAAACCCTCACGCATTTGACTTAGAAAACGTTGGCAGGTATGATAATATTATAATGTTACTTTTTACGTGATCAAGTTGAGTTGCAAGGGGACCTACAAATTTTTGGTTCGATCACTCTACCGCTTGTAATAAATTATGCGTTGTTGGGGTGAGCTAAAAAGCTTAACAGCTCAAAGTGTTGGTGAGGTCACTGCGTACTAGTCATGCGTGCAATTTTCAGGATATGTGGAAATGAAAGTCAAGCATACAACCAGTCCAAAAGCTGGCTACGCCCCTGTCAACTACAAAATCGCAGTTTCGAGTTGAACAAATACGTCTTTCAAGCATTATATCAAACGTTACAAACAACAAACATAAACTTTGAAAACCTGTTCCGCTAACACGTTTTCGAAAACCACAATTTCCAAACCGCTTCAATCTTTTTTTCGTGCCTCTTTTAATACTTGCTGTGTTCTTTCTACCTTTTTTTCATGTTTTTATCTATCATTTTTATGTTTTGCTCAGTTTGTTGCCGGTTACCACTGTTTGAATTCTGATAAAGTTGGAGATACAGTTCCTATAAACTCCGCATCGTAAAACTGGTACGAGCCCTCCCTCCAGGCCTCGCGAACATTAATATTGAGAGTTTTCTTAGGTGTCAGTCGCGTTCAACTTTGCCTGGCTAACACTGTGCAGATAAATAAATTACTTAATTAACATCTTCAAAAATGTTCTGTACGGAAGTGCTGATTAGGTATCACAATCAGAACTTACCCTCTTCTTGCCAATGCGCATGTCCTCTTCGCGTTCGTCATAAGGGTCATCATCGTCACTAGGGAGGAAGGGAGGCGACTCTTCTCTTCTTCTCTTCATTGGCCGAATGCCATCAAGTTTATCTAGCAAATGAACGATAAAGAGTTGTAAACAAACACCTCACGGTAATGCGGGGATGCCACCAACACGTCAACAAAACGTCAGTCCTATTTTTGGCGTCAAGAGAAGCTGGACAAATTCTCACCACTTTCGGTTAACCTACCTTCAACTTTGTCAGTGTGCTAAAAATCCTTTGATACTAACGTGCTGCTTAAAAACAAGTTCAGTTAGTGTTTTGGTGCAATACTACATGAAGGGTTACTTACTCAGTTTGTCTTCCGCTGGCTCTATGTCTTCCCATTTGCTGCGTGAAGGCACCTGTATCTTAGGCTGAAATGATGGATCAATTTAGGTTTCCGGGAAACTGCCCACCTACCCCTCCCCTAAGCCAACATTTACCCTTACTTCTCACTTAGGGCAAATGTTGGCTTTGGGGAGGGGAAGGTGGTCAGAAACCTAAACTGGTCTGAAATAATTAACAGACCCAGTGAAAAGGAACTATACGAGACCACTAAAAACAAAATCCAGCTAGTGAGGTTTAGGGGAGGATTTTGTTGGGAGTTGTTACAGGAATTGTGTTACAGTTTTCTCTGCATGGGAACTGTTTCCGGGATAGGTTCCTGGAATTAAGTTATTATTTGTTCGGGTATGGCATTGGGGATTACTCGGGAAACTGCGCCAGGGCTTTTAGTGAAATTGGACTGCGGCTTATTCGGGAAATCATTTTGGGAATTGGGGAGAAAGTGTCAGAGTCGGGTTCAGGTGGTCAACCTTTTTAACATGCGTTCTTTATTGGAGAGAAGGAGAGGGGGGAGGGGGGAGGGGGGAGGGGGGTATCTTTCACGTATTTTACGTTTATTTTACGTTTTCTTCTGGTTTAGACACAGGCTTTTATTTCTTATCATAATAATCAACCTTTTACAGCAACTTTCACTGAAATTCAAGGCTTTTGAGCTTTTTTTTTTCTGACGTGATGAACTAAAACAGCCAGGTTAGTTACCCCTTTATAATGGAGTGTGTATTTATATTTCCTAAGCTGTTTTTTCTTTCTTCTTTTTTTGTAATTATTTCAATTTTTTTTTATTTCTTTTTCAACCACCAAGAATGAATGCATCATGCATTGTATACCACCCTTCTACAGAGTCTAACTTCTTTGCCATTTAGAAGATCGTTATCTTTTCGACTTTTACTTTTGCCATGGGTGGCAAAGTTGTTATCTCTGATGTTCTATTTTCAACATGTTGATATTTTTTGTGGCTTAACGAAAGTCAATATCAGTTTTTCATTTTACAGTTTGACTTATTTACTAACAGATATTTACCATCCTACCTTAACCTTGCATGCCTTTATCCTGTGGTATTTTAACGCTGCAATGTAATATTTTTCTTTTAGTTTTACGTTATTTTTCCCTACCTCCCCTTGGTCCTCCTGTGCTGCCTGCTCCTGTGCCTGCGTTCCTGCCCCATCTCCATCAGCGGTTTCATCTGCTGTCTCCATCTCAACCTTAACCAAAAGTGATTGTTCAATGTTATACAGCGCGCGTTCTCATTGGCTACTACTTCGAGGTTACACATCGTCTAACAACAACACTGTTTCCCGCCAAAAGTATTTGAGCGCCTTTAAAAAGGTGTAATCAAAAGGTGGCAAATACCACCTTTATACGTGAATTAACTGAAATTTTTTTTGGTGTTACAAAACAAATCACGCAATGAAGTAATAATGAACGATTATTCCTATTACTGTGCACTTTGCAGTGAACACTTGTTACAGTTTAAACACTTGAAACTTTGGTGCAGGCGTTTTAAGAACGAAAACTATAAAATCAGTTGTCTTTCACAATAGACCGTTGTTTTTATGGGCGGAATTAACTAGTTTCTGCGTCCTGCGCGAAAAAGGCGATGTGACACGGTTTATTATCAGGGAAATTCAAGTTCCATTTCAATTCCAGGCCATTCGCTGTCGACAAAGCAATTTCCGAACGAATTGATTGTCTGTATCGTGCGATATGTTTTCATTACAATTACAAACGTCAGGCATTTATGGTGAGCACGAACCTCGGTAATAACAGCATCTTGCAGCAATGATCGTACATCGAGTCTTAGATGATGAACTGGAGTCTCCTCCCAAGCCGATACCATCTGAAATATAACAACTGTTTCCTTAAAAATGATATTATTTTTTGAAGCGTAGCACTGCAGGTATCAACTTGTAAAACACTACTTCTACAAGTTACTTCGGCGCATCAAATGGGGGCACAAAATTTTGCTAAGGATGCCTCTGCTCATCCCTTGAAAGGGATCTTGAACCTTCTCACGACCAGACATTTCTGCCCCTCATAACTTAGCAGTTTTAAAAACATGCTTCTCTAACTCGTACGTAACTCTACCCTGAATACTAGAGTATTTTTACCCACTTTTCGATGTTTCAACATCAGATGAAACACTCTCCTTCTCGTGTTTGATATACCACTTCTCAGTGTTGGGATATCAGATAAAACACTTCTTCTCGTGTTCGATATATTACATGAAACACTCCTTCTCGTGTTTGATATATCACTCGTCAGTGTTTGAATATCAGATGAAACACTTCTTCTCATGTTTGACAAAGATCAAGAACTGACCTTGTTGATTTCCTCAAAGGTTCGATTGTGACTGTTCCGCTTAGCACAATCATGCGCGTCGGCCATTAACTCAGCAACATACACCTGTGCAACAAAACACACAGATTACGGCCTTAATCATAACAACTACGACAAAATTCTTAAATCTGATTGGCTATCAACTGTCCTGATTTCAACACTAATAGGACAGTACGCGTCATGCCTAAGTAATTGGACAGTACTTCCAGCGCCATTTTAATAGCCTACATTAAGTAAACGTCGGGCTTGTGACGGCAACTTTATACCTTTGCGACCCGGAGTAGATCTTGCATTGGGCTTGGGTTTACAGAATGATAAGGGAAGAATGTTGTAGAAAAAAAGTCGACAGTTACACAGCACATTCTCACAAGAACGTACACCCGACTGGTTGAAAGATGACTTCTCTACTCCAGTTGGGACATGATGATATTTTGCCAGACAAAAAATATAATTATTTGAAGCGCCCTAAATATTTATCTCTTGCCGGATAATAGGTGAACATACGGTGTCCTTCCCTTTGTTTGGTCTCACAATTGTCAAAGAACATCTCTGTCTGATTACTTGAAGAATACTTTTAAAATAATACCTTTCAGAATTCTTACCTCGAAACCCTTTTGTTTTGCATGACTCCAATATTTCTCAAAATGCTCTACCTAAAGACGCAAAAGATCACCCGCAAGACGAATTAAAAAAGTTATGCATCTGGAACAACAAGAGAACAACAACGAGAACCTAGTCATTCAACCCTTTAATCCCCAAGATCCACATTCAAATTCTCCAGACCGATCTCCAAACATCTTCCTCAAGAATTAGTTGAGAGCATTTCACAAAGTTTAAAGCATTTTCCGTTTAGTGATCAGTTTTATTAAGTCTCAAAACCTTTATCTTTGATTATGTATCTTTGTTAGGAGAAAATCGATGTTGTTCAATCTTGGTACATGTATAACTGCACAATCCTATTCATATATTTGTTATGAAAATACCAACATCCTAACTATTCATACCAGTGACGTTTCACTGTGATCAATTCACCCAATAGCCTCATTTGACACTAAACCATAACATCCCAAACTTGATCACGGAGTCACAATAAAAATTTCTAACTTTTGAGTCTGTGGATGAAATCCTATGGTGTGACCATTCAAATGAAAGCTACTGAGCAGTACTTTCATGTGGTACTGTTAATTGTGCTGAATAAGGAGGTACTACCTGGCGAATTTGAGAAACTATGGTAACCAAACCTTACCTTATCATGAATCGCATCCACGATAACAACAGGGAAGAAGCCATCTTCAAGAGTTTTAGTGAAAGATTTGAACAAACTACTTCTGTAAGCCTCCTCCATTTCTTCTTCATAAACATATTCAGTCACCTAACAAAACAAGATGTAAAATTTCAAATGTTTTTTCCGTTATTTTAGGAAATTTTGATTATTTCCAGCTTGTAGTTCAGTCATGATTGTAATTCTGTGGTCATCATTTGTCTCCCAGGAGATACATCACATGCACTGCCATAAAGATGCAATGAACATCCCAAAATTTAATCATTAAACAGGGGTTTAAATAACATGTACTTACAAATTTTATTTCCATTACAACAGAGTAGTAAAAAAGAGGTTTCTACACCTACAATTTATAACTAACAGTTAGTTTTCTTCTAACTGTATCACGCTACAGTTTTTGTCCAGTTTCACATGGCTTATTTGCGCTTACAAGACATGAATCATTGTATTTCTAGTAAAAAATAACCTCAGTCAAACCTCCACTAACAGCCACCCCTCTACAACGGCAACTTTCTTCTGTCCCGAAAGCGGCCGTAGTGGAGAGGTTCAACTGTACAAGGTTTAAACCTTTAAACCTTAAGATTAAAATCTGAATTATCATTTGTTGCCCCTGTTTATCTCCTACAGAAGTAGTGTGGAGAAGTTGATAAAAAATATCAAGCAAATTCATCTTGTGTGATCATGTCCATAATTCTCATGACCACTCTGTTTTACAAAGCATTGATATTACAAGGAGAAATTCCATGCTGATCACTCTTAGGGCTTAAAGGGTTAAGGTTCACACCTTTTTCTTGATTTTCTTCCCAGTGTCTGGGTCTTTTTCAGTTTTCTCAACCTCCATTAAAAAGTAATCATCCAGGGCTAATATTCTGGGTGCATGAGCTCCATAAGACACCTCCTTGTCCTGCAGTGAAAGAAAAATAATATTTAAGACTGATGATGAAGGGGGTGATGATGGTAATGGAGATTGTGGAAAATAACGATAAATGTAAGTATAGTACTAAAACAGTGGATAGTGTTTTTGTGCGCTCTGATTGGCTACTCAAACTCGAGATATCCAGTGCTATTCACTGATTCACCTCCAGCTCCTCTGAGCAAGCCACACCAAACTCGCCTAAATTACAAGCAAAATGGCTTCCTGGTTTGCTGCCGTAACAAACAAAGAAATTTCACAAACAATAGTGACAATAATGCAGTAGCTACAATCAAACCTTAATGGAACAGACAATTATAAAACTCACCTTTATCAGCCTAGCTACATGGGTTTTGCCACTCCCTGGTGGCCCTCTGAGAATAATCACAATCTGCAACAAAGAAATTTAACAATAAAGGTCGGAAATCACTGGCTGACAAGCTGCAGCAACATATTGAGGCGACATGTCACGGCAACAAATCAATGCATGTGTACTGGAGAATTTTTGTGAAAATCTTTGTCTCGGCAACTGGATCATACAAAATCAAGTGCATCTTGTTGTAGTGGCAAAATTTTGTTGCTGAGACACATAAAGCAATTTGTTGCTGTGACATAAAGAGTTGCATCAAGTTATTCCCAACTAGTACACAGGGAGAGATTTGTCACAGCGACCTATTACAGCAACATGTTGCCTAGTTGTTCCGACCTTAAAACGATTCACACACAAAAAAAATGCAGAATTTCATGAACACAAATTACAGGAATTCATATTCCATAAAGGCTAACAATGAAACAACAACAACAAAAATATAGAAGTACATGTAAACATACGGAACTGCCAGCTGGTACAATAATTCATAAATGAGAAGGTTGGCATATTTACCCGATCAGGTCTGGATTCTCTTCCTGGAGAATCAAGAATACTCTCAACAGGAACAACCTCGGCCTTCTTCTCAAACCTGGGCGGTTCACTCTGGTGTCCAGCTTCTTCAGGGTGGGGTGGGTAGTTAGCAGGGTCATGCATAGGGCGATCTTCAGGATACGGGGGTCTGTCTCTATAGTAGTCATCATGGGGTGGTCTTCTATCTGTAGGAGCTTGCTCATCATACCATCTGTTCAAAAAACGTAAATACTTTACTATAGGAAATTAATGCTCCATGAAATTAAGGTATTGGAATTTAACTTGACCCTTGAATAAGGGAAATTAATGCAAAAGAGAAGGTAACATTTCAAAAATTGTTGGGACGACTAAGATTTCAAGTTGCCAGGTAAGTACAACAAGGAGGCAGGGAATCAAACAGCTACGGGTTTCTTTTGGTTCTATTTTTCTTTTATTTTCCTATTAAAGTAGCCACGGGCCACGTTTATAGTTGCCGGGGAAATTCCGAGAGTTTTTTTGCTAGCAGTGAAAAAAAGCGGTTTAAGCCCAAGCGTGTGATGCCGCATACTGTCCAATCATAGGCATGATACGTGCCGTCCAATTCAATGTCCTATTAGTACTGAAAACAGGACAGTTGATAACCAAACAGATTTGAGAATTTTGTTATAGTTATGATTAATGCTTTTATGTTGGTTACCATTCCAATGTCTCAAGGAGTGGATGAAGACATGATTAACAAACCTCTCATCTGGACCCCTCATTTCGTCTCTTGGCCACTCTCTAGGGCGATCAGGAGGGAAGTGCTCTGGATGATCCCTATAGGGTGGGGGTGATCTTCGCCATCGATCATCTGGATGATGACGTTCTCGGAATCTCTCGTCATCAGGTGGTCTCCTCCCTAATATTAAATTTAAAAGTTCAAAGTAACCTTGCAGTGAGGGAATTTTATGTTAGCAACATCAAATGGTCTTCCTTGGTGAAGGTTTATGAATAATCTTACATGAATGTATCAAACATTGCGTTCCTGATTATGTCAGAATTACACATTTGAAGAGAATCACACTTGCATATGGACACAGAAATCTTCTTTGTCTCAATGAACAGTTTATCTTAAAAGGGACTATATCACAATGATATTGCCGTTTTAGATCACTTCTGTGCTAAAGCCATTATTTAGGCATACACAAAATGCTCCTTTAGAGTTACAAAGAAGACTTAATTTAATTGATTACTGTCAATACTGATACATTATAATATTCAGAAACTCACAGTCTTCTCGATCCCAATCCCGTGGTGGTGGTCTACCTCGGTCATCAAAGAAATCAGCATCACGTGGAGGTGGTGGCCGGCCAAATCGATCAAATTCTTCACGTGTTGGAGATCTTCCCCGATAATCACGTCCGGGAGGAGACCATCCCCTCCGGGGATGATCAAATGGGGGCCATGGAGGTGGTGACAAGGGTCTTCCCCTGTGATCTTCATGGAATGGGGGTCTTCCCCTTCTACTTCTTCCCCTTGGAGATAAAGGTCTGCCAGGGGGACCATGCTCTCGTTCCCAAGCCCATGCATCTACTTCCTCCCTCGGATGTGGTGGCCATCTTTCTCTGTCATCCCTTGGGTGTGGTGGCCAACGATCCCGAGCATCTCTTGGTGGAAATGGAAAATCACCATCGTCTGGAGGGAAAGGCGGCCGATCTCTTCCATCTCGTGGAAAAGGAGGTCGATGCCACTCATCCCTTGGGAATGGTGGGCGATCCCACTCATCTCTTGGAAATGGTGGTCGGTCCCTTTCATCTCTCGGAAATGGTGGCCGATCCCTCTCATCTCTTGGAAATGGTGGACGATCCCTTTCATCTCTTGGAAAAGGCGGCCGTTCCCTTTCATCTCTTGGAACGGGTGGCCGATCTCTTTCATCTATTGGAAAGGGTGGCCTCTCTTTAGCTGGTGATCTCTTTATTTCATGTTGTGGAGCTACATTTTTCTCAGATGACTCTTTCTGTTCATGGGCTTCCTTCCCATCTTTAGAAGCTGATTCACCTTCAATTCTTTCTGCGGGGGGCTCTGTTCCTCTCTCATCTCTGAATGGTGGCCCAAGGTCTCTGTCTCTCATGAAAGGAGGTCTTTCATCCCAACCCTCTCGTGAAAAAGAAGACCTCTCTCTTTCATCTCTTAAATAAGGTGGTCTGCCTCGTTCATCCCTTGGAAATGGTGGTCTTCCATCACGCTCATCCCACCAGGGGGGTCTCATTCCTCGTTCATCAGAAGGGAAAGGCGGCCCTCTGCCACGCTCATCAGGAAATGGTGGCCTTCTGTCTCTTTCATGCCTTCCAAGGGCACTCTCCCTTTCATCTCTTGGGTGAGGAGGCCTTGGACGTCCCCACTCATCTCTCTCAAGGGGTGGTCTCCAATCTCGTCTGTCACCTGAACCTTCACTGTCACCCTCTCTTGGCACAGGCATCCTCCCCTCTCTTCCTGGAGGAGGTTCACCTTCACCCCATCTGGAGAACCTGCCTCTAGCCGATGGCCAATCCGCCTCCTGAGAGGAGCCTGCAAGATAGAAATTAATAACTCACTTAGTGAACAGTTCAGAATGAAATGAGTGAGAGTTGCGGGGTGCAAAGAAAATCATTTTTACAGCTTGCCATTAAGGCATGCTGAAGCTAACAATTACTAGACCAGATGTCATTTCAACTAGCCCCAAAAACTTGCTGACTAGCACAATTGGTTTCACAGTTCTTCTGTTATTTAAATTCCTCACAAAAACATCACTTGCCCATCGGGCAAGTTAAAAACAGAATTCTCAGGTTTAAAAAGGGGATATCTATTACTAACGTTTCTGTAAAAGTTAGATCAAAGACTATCATAAAGATTACTAATAGAAAGAGTATTTCGTGTTCAACTTCATTTAAGTGGCAGAAAGGGCAAATTCAAAGATTTTCTGGAGTTTCAGGTACTGTATGTCTGCCCGTTTCAATTTGTAAGCAACGGTTGCCAAGTCTGAATTTACAATACCTGCATCACCAGCATGCTCCTGATGGTAAGCAGGCCTTCCCCATTCATTTTCAGCCTGCCACTGCCATTGTTCACCATGTGTTTTGTCTTGATCTGCTGCATATTGGGTGGTCTGTTCAGGGACTGATTGTTGTTCATCGACTCCTCCTTCTGTATACTGTTCATTTTCAACCTCCATGTAGTCATCTTGAGGAGCCTTTAAGAGACAGGGTGCAAAGAAAGTTTGTTTTACTGCCTGCCATTCGGGCAAGCTGTATCTAGCATGTACTAGCCCACAAGTCATTTCAACTAGCTCTCAAAACCCTTTTTGATTGGCAGGATTTATTCCAATCTTTCTGTAATCTGAATTTCCCCAAAAAACAGCACTTGCCCGTTGCGCAAGTTAAGAACAGAAATCACTAGCCCGATAACAAATCCACTAGCCCCGGGCTATCAGACACGACTTTATTTACACGTTGGGAGAGTAGAGTACTTAACATAATCTCTGGGTTAGTTGCTCCAAGAATAGCCCTTATACACAAGGCTACGCTCTTACTAAGAAAAATTGAAGGGAGTACAGTGCCCTGAACCTGTGAAATTCAGGGTGCCCAGCATATGATTTCTGTGAAAAAAAACATAGATTTTCTAGTTGCCCCAGAGCAAACCTTAAGCGCCATGGGCCAACCAGGTACTGCTAGAGCACAGCCCTTATACATGTGTGTGTTAGACAAGCAAGTTGAGTCTGTAAACAAAAATTTTTGCATTTATACTCTTTCTATCCGGGTATTCTTTTCAACTCTACTGCCTAAAGTTATTCATTATGTAAAACTTTGCAATTTACATTAATAATATTGAACTTGGCAGCTTAAATTTGCCCTTCTAATGTCAATGTGCAAAATGGCTATTGTGTGGTACACATACACTGTATGTGGAAGTGGCAGATACCCATAGGGCATATCATTTGTGACAGTTACATGCATTGTGGCACATACATTAGGAAGGTTGCAAAAATCTGAATTTGAATTTTAGTTTAGCCTAGAGCAGATATTTAATTTTTGGCCAACTTTTCCTTCAGCTTAAAGTTTTGCATTGGCTCAGACTAAAATCGTTAAACTTTATGTTTACCTCATAATTGTTTTCCTGGTAACTACCATCTCCAAGCTGGTATTTGTCATCACCTAAAATAAGGAATACATGTAATCAAATTTGGCTGAGGCAACTTCAAGGACATGTACCAGGTAATGTAGTTTTAACTTTTGATTCTGTTGACAAAATGCTATGGTGTGACCATTCAAACAAAAAATGCTGAGCAGTACTTTCCTGTGGTACTGTTTAGTATGCTGTACAAGGTGGTTCTAACTTTTGAGTCTGTGGATGAAATGAGTGTTCTAGTGTAGCATAAGTGATCTTTCAATAATATTATTACTCTACATGAAATTTGGGATTTTCGATGACATTTGAGTTTAAGAATGAAAGAGTTATTTCAACAGACCTTCTACAGACTCCTCTTCTGGTTTGGCAGGTACCACGGGGAATTCACCATCTCCTATACCAGGAATCTGGTCTCCTCTCGACGAAAACTGCGACATGACTCCACTGAATGTCTCAGTTGTCTCAGTAAAGGCCTCTAATTCTAAAAACAAAAGGAAACAGCAAAATTAATAATGGTAATTACCGGTATTAACCATAATTACCCATCAATTAACTCTGGGAGTGATAGATTTAAGGACTCAAAATGCTCCTGTAAAGTTATGAAGCATAATATCAAAGAAATTTCATCAGGGAGCACTAACCATAATGATTTGGTTTTTTTTTTATGATTTTTGCAGGCGTAGCATTAAACCTTGAAAAAGATGGGCCAACTTTGTCAAGTTTAAATCTCTACCAATCCTTGCCATAGATTGCAACAAACAATGGGAAAAAGTTCAATGCCTAAATATAATAATAATTTATAATAGTCTTAGTCCTTTAACAGAGGTGAGTAGTGTACCTGGGTATTGTGGTTCCTCTGGAGTTTCTTCAGTTGTGGGATCAGCACTGTGGTCAAATATACAATCACCACTTGTGCATCTGAAAGAGAAAAAGTACTCCTTCAGTACATTGTTGTAAAAGATGTTCAACACTATGCAAAAACTTGACCTAAAGAAGTTTTATAGATGTGAAATGATGCAGCAAAAAGGGAAAAGGAGCACTTTTTTGATAATATGAATTGTAATATTTACTACACTGTAAATAAAAAATTCAATAGTCAAAATGATTAATTTTGTGAAATGGAAATTCTTCCCATTAATGGTTTTCCAAAAACTAAATGTCATTAATGGTTGGTGTAAAAAATAAGAATTGCATAAAACAGTTGCATTTTTTTCTGTCAAAAAATCAGGTGGCCACAAAAAAGTGAAGAGAAAAAGAGGAAACATGCTTGGCATTTAAACAAAAATGGAAGTAAAGGCTTAGTACACATGTACCTTGACAACCTCTCTCTGGTGTGCACTGGTGAAAAGGCAAGATCTGATCTCAATTAGAGTCATAATTTCCACTGAGTACAAAGGGGTGTGTGTAAAAAAGCCCTAAATGACTTATGACATATTGCTAGATTCTCCTTTCAATATGCTTGTATATCACACTGGATCAACAGGGTTCTCAATAGAAGGCGGCACCCGGCGATTGATCGCCTCTTACTTTGGGATTTATAGCCGCTTACTTTGTGTTTAGGTCGCTTTTCTTTGCTTTGTTTTGACACCTCTGGCTTTGCTGAAGAGCCTCCTACTTTATCAGTGATCACCTCCTACTTAAAAATCTATTGAGAAGCCTGGATCAAGATCCACTTACAGCAAGGCTCTACATATCCTTTCATTAACATTGTTCCTACATTATTTTTAGAGCTAACCTTGAGCCTGAACTGCATGGTGGATGTTGAAAATGGCAGTTGTTTCCAAAGCGACACTTCGGAAAGAACTTGCAAGGTGGTTTTTTTGGCTTCTGTGGCATAGTTTTCTCGGTAGAACCTACAACATAATGACGAGATTTCAACGTTGTTCCAGATAAAGTCTATACCACTGTACCCCGCCCCCTACCCCCCCCCCGCCCACGCCCAAATCAAACATTAAAATGCTACAGTCTATATGTGTGCTGGTCTGATCTATGGCACATGATCTAAGTGTGCATCAAAACTGTGATGCAACAGAATGTCTTGTGTGCTCATTACACCCATGATCATATTGTGTTCTGTCCCATGTCCTTGTTTCATAGGTGGTTCAGGAAGGGGATTAAAGAAGAAATCTACATGTGCATTTGAACGGACAGTCCCTCCCTTAATAGGAATGGAGGTTACTGTATGGAACAACCTTCTAAATGTGCAATGCAGGGGGGGAGGGGAGCCTCCTCCACCTTTGAACTGAGAGTGCCTCCCTTAATAGCAATGAAGGTTAATTCAAACTCTTACCTGTATGGGCCAACCTTCCAAATGTGCGACTCAAGGGGGTGGGGGGGGGGGCATCTCCAGGGTTAACTTTAATGCCATGTAAACATAGCCTGGTCTTCAGGTCATAAGAAGACCATGACTTAAGAAAACATTTCAAACTTTTCAGTGAAACCCCATGTTGTAGCTTGTAGATCCATTATGTTGTAGCTTGTAGATCCATCATTTTCAGTAAGTGAACATCAAATCTTATAACATCATTGAAGACAATGGAACATTGCAATGGATTATTTTGTTTCCTGTTAAGGTATATTGATACTTACTTTTGTCTTGAAACCCAGCATGTGTTCTCTCTGCACTCATGTAAGTTGTAGACGCTGTTTGGCTGTTGTATGTGGAAGAACTAGCTGATGAAGAAGGTGATGCATACGATGTAGAAGATGTTTGCTTAAAACGTTTCTCAAGCTCCTGAAGTTGTTGAAGTTGTTCTTGTTGTTGCTTCAACAACTGAATTTCCTTCAGAGGGTCTAATTTTTGTGGACTGATGGTTACAGATGTAGAGAGGGGAGTTCTGAAAAAGAAAAAGGAAAAAATTAATAATATTCTTGTTTCATTTAAAGAAATGTTGCACACATCCTTGTGGCATGAGGATGTCATTACAATGTACATGATACCATGTATGTAACACGCATGTACATGACCTTCAGCTGAATAACAGTGATTACATGCACTTACATTATGGCTACTAGAGCTGTATGTTTTACATGATTTTTCCCAATAAGCAGAGGTTAACGCTGTGAAAGACAGGTCGACAGCCAACGACTTGATAAAAAATACAAAGGGCAGAAAGAAAAAACAACTTCCTGATGCTGCTTCTTAATCAGTCCTTAGATACTAGTAGAAACAACAATTCAGGAGTGCATTCGGATGTAAAAGATAACAGGTAAACTTCAAAGCAAGGCACAGAATACGTGTAGATACCAGTTTCGGACCAAAAGGAGGTTCCTGAAAAAATTGTGTGGGATCAACTACTTATACGTATTGTTGAAACAGGTATTATGGAGAAAAGGTGAATAGGAAACACAATGAAAACTGAACCCTTTGGAAACAAAAAGGCAAATAAAATATTATTGAGTTACCTTTCTTCTCTGTCCCATTTTGAGGGTCTTTTCACAGGTGACGATGAAACTAAAAAACACAAAGGCACCAGAACTCTAGCACAGTGCTCGACTTTCAGAAAAAAATCTTGGGGCCAGCTGGCCCCCAAGTTTTCATTTTTGGTAGCCAAAACAAGTGTTCTGGTCGCCAAAAATATATTTAAGAATTAATGGCATTAAATAAACTTAACATCTTTTACTTAGCCTTAACAGAAAAAGAACGCTTTAGACTTCCTTTTGAACTTTCTTTCGAACAGGTTTCGCTTGAGGCTCAATTACCAGCCGGTGTTCGGGAAAATGAGCCCACACTCAAGCGTACATCTCCTCAAACAGGTAGGCAAGCTTAAGGTCCAGGAAATCATAAGAATAATCCGTTAGAGTGTAGAAATCGTTAATGCGTTGAGACAAATCATCAGAGAGTTTGGACAAACCATTACTTTAGAGCGTTTGGGCAAAACATTAGAGCGTTAGAAAAACCCTGAAAAACTATTAGCTATCTGTTAGTTTTGTGAAGGATAACGGATTATCATTAGTGTACGTTTTCCCAAAGAAGAAAGTCACCTATCTTGGAGGCCAGGTTGGCGACCAGGCATGAAAATTTGGTTGCCACTGAGTAAAAGCTGGTCGCATTGGCGACCCCACAGGTCACAACGTCAAGCCCTGTAGCACCATATCAGGTAATCTTACAGTATAAGGCAGCAATACCATATCATTTATGGTATAAAAGACAAGAGCAAGAATTATACTATCTGTCACCATGGATACTGCTTGCAAAACCTGAACAGCTCAAAGGACAAGTCTAGGCGGGAATGATTTCAACTTTCAAACAACTTTTTTTCAATATTGAGATGATTATTTACCTGTTGATGTTGATACAGTACTTTCTTGAGAGGCAGATGTTTTGGCTTGAAGCCATTTTGGAACTTGACCAACGGTTTTTTGATCTTCTGACTGACTTCCACTTGTTGATGGTTTATCTTGAAGCCATTTTGGTAGCAACTTCTGCGGCACCTGACTTGATTCAGCTGCCTTGCTTCTACCTCCTTGATCTTGCATCCACCTTGGCATCTGCTTCCTTTGGACTTCCACTTCTTGTGCAGCCCTCTCAGCTGCTGCCTGCTTGACATCTTGTTCTGTTTTCTCAAGCTTTTCTTGAAGCCATTTTGGCATGTCCTTCTGTTCTGCCTCTTGCTTCTGTGCTCCTTCCGAAGTCTTCTGCTGTATTGATGACCTCTTCTGCATCCAACTTGGCAACTGTTTGGTATCATTAGTAGACACAGAAGACATATTTTGTTGATTCACTGACTTCAAATTACCAGCCTGCATCCACTTTGATTCCTGTTTGGTTGCTGTTGTTGTAGTTTTCGCAGATTGCATCCATTTCGGAACCTGACCACTGTTAGAAGTATCCTGATTTTGCACCGAACTATTCTGCTGATGTTCTGGATGTGGTTGCCACTGTTGCCTCTGGTCATGTGCATAAGACTGGCTTTGTTGTTGTTGGTTGTATTGATATTGAATTACTTGTTGATTCTGCGATCTGTTTTGAAGCCACTGTGGTTGGGCTTGTTGCTGCTGTTGTTGATGAAGCTGGCCTTGATGAGACTGTTGTTGCTGTTGTTGTTGATAAATTTGGTTTTCACTGCTATAGAAATCTTGTTGGCTTTGTCCTTGCACCTGGTAAAGCTGTTGTTGCTGTTGTTGACCTTGATGCTGAAATGAAAGTTGTTGATTCTGCTGGGATGGAACATTTTGTTGCAGCTGTTGTTGCTGCTGAAATTGATGTTGCTGCTGCAACTGTTGTTGCTGCTGTCCTGGAAGCTGGACAGTCGCTGTAGCTGCCAATACCTGCTGCTGCCCACCAGCCTGCGTCTGCAGTAGACTCTGACTCTGTTGCTGCCAATGCTCCATGTGTTTCTGCCACTCTTGATACTGTTTCTGATCGGGGTGATTCTGATGCTGAGCTTGCCACTGTGCATACTGCTGCTGCCACTGTGCGAACTTCTCCTGATACTGCTTCTGTGCTTCCAAAATCTGCTGCTCAGCATTGCCTTGGTCCCCTGCTACAGAGCCGAATACTCCCGATGATGTCGCGGCATTACTGGCGCTTGAGCTAGGAGCTGGTTCAGGAGGGAGCGGAGGAGGAGCAGAAGGATCAGATTGCTGCTCTGGTGGCAGAGGTGGTGCTTGATTTTCCGTGGCGCTTTGTTGCTGAGACTGAACAGTTTGTTCAAGGCCTTGGTTTGTTACCTGCTGAGCACCGGGGACAGCATAATAGCCTTGTCCTGCCACAGCGTATTGCTGTGTCCCGACAACTTGTCCATATCCTTGCACGGGATACTGTCCCACAGCGGAAACAGCTTGCTGATTTTGATAACCAACAGTTCCATACTGCTGGGCGGCGTATGTATGCGGCGCTTGAAATGCCTGTTGTGTCGACGCTTGCGGTTGAACATAATAATATTGCTGTGGTTGGGCGAACTGTCCTTGAAACTGATATTGAGGCTGTTGCTGATGTAGTTGCGCTTGTTGATACGCGTACGGATTCATTTTCCGCGGCGATCGACGCTAGAAATCGAAAGAATTTTTATGACGCTAATATCATTTTCCTTCAAGATGGCGACCATGCGGGAGACAAAAAAATATTTGCGACCTGGCCTTTGACCAAAGTATCCAGGCCTTCGTTTGGAAAAAATATGGCGGACAGTGTGAGGGAGCGACTTGAACGTCGTAATGAAGAAAGGCTTGCGGCTATAGAAAAGCGGAAAGCTGATAAAGAGAGCAATGAGCAACCAACAGAAACAACAGATTATTTCGAAACCACCTTCGCTAAGGAAAAGGGGGCAATAGAGGATCTCCTAAGCAAAAGGGCTAGCTTGATAGAACCCGGTAACAAAATGCACGCCACAGAGTTTTTTGAATCTCTGACCGACAAGTGTCAGAAACTTCAAAAATTTGTATCAGATTCCGCGATGTTCTTACCCTCTCGCCAGATAAAAGTCTCACAAGATATACTTAAAGCCTTGCAGCAAGAAATTAACGAAAAGCGAGAGGAGTACATGCCAAAGAAGAAGTTTACTTTCAAGGCCAGAAAAAAGGAGGTGGCACCAACAAAAGAGGTGGGGGAATAGTAAGCATTCTGCCTTACGTGGATAATCTTGTTCTGTGTTTCTCACAATCAACAGAACAGGACTATTAGTCAATATGTCTCAAGGATATAGTAAAAAAAGGCCATCAATGAATAATTATGCATACCCCCGGCTCCACCCCCTGGGTTGATAACAGGTGGATTAATTTATACTTGTATTTAGCGGTAAGTTTTAAGGGCGGTAAAATTCTTCCAGGCTGGTATGAAAATCTGTGGAGGCCTGTGGGTTTCACTACTATATTTTTAAAAGGAATTCTCCGCTGATGAAGTAAAGAACATACATGTAGATTTTATGGATGTTTTTAGAGATGCATTTGTATTCTTCAGAGATTTACAATTAAAAAACTGATGCCAGTTTTTTATGTGTCCCTCCTCTTTGTGATGCTAAAATTTCATCATAACATTGTCATTGTCATTCATGATCAGGGGTCCAGATATCCAGGGACTCTTACATCCTTGGTTTCGTACATCCAGGGGATCTTATGTTCAGGGATTCTTATGTCCAAGGATTCTTATGTCCAGGGGTTGTTATGTCCAGGGGTTATTTCATTCAGGGGTTCTAATCTATTTCCAGGGGTTCTAACGTACATAACATTGTCATTGTCATTCAGGGCTTCAGATATCCTTGGGTTCTTACATCCAGGGGTTTTTACATTCAGGCATTCTTATGTCCAGGGGATCTTTTGTCCAATTATTATTATGTCCAGGGGTTATTACGTACAGGGGTTCTAACATACATAACATTGTTATTGTCATTCAGGGGTTCAAATATCCTTGGGTTCTTACATCCTGGGGTTCTTAAATTCAGGGATTCTTATGTTCACAGGTTCTAATGCATTTCCAGGGGTTCTTACATCCAGGGGTTCTAACATCCAAGTGTTCTTAGGTTCAGAGGTTGTTACGTCCAAGGGTTCTTACCTCTGGGAGTTCTTGCATCCGAACGCTCTTACATCCAGGGTTTCTTACATTCAGAGGTTCTTCCATAGTGGCTTGGTAAGAGATTTTATAGACAGAGGTTTACCCAGCTACTGATACATGATCCAAATGTTGTACCTTGTTATTTCCACTTTCTCAATTTTTTTTTTCTGTCCTAAAGGAGGGTATCACCCATCAAGAAAGCAAAAGCAAGACAGATGCCCTCTCTACAACAGAAAAACAATTCTTAGAGATTTCAAAGGACTCACAGCTCAAACTCTCACCATGATGCCAGAACAGGTTAAAAGTCAAGATGTCACTCTAAGAGGTCTCCATAATTGCAACATTATAGTTTATGGTGCCCCGTCGGCCTTGCTTATGAACAAACTAACAGACTGCACCGTTCTTTGTGGTCCAGTATCTGGAGCTGTATTCATTGAAGACTGCTCCACATGTAATTTTGTCTTTCCATGTCATCAGTTGCGTGTTCATAGCACTACAGACAGCAACTTTTATCTCCACGTAACAAGTAGAGCTATTGTAGAGGATTGCTCTAATGTAGGATTTGCCCCGTTTAACTGGAAGTATGAAGCTTTGGAAAGTGATTTTCAAATTGCTGGTCTCAGTCCTTTGGAAAATAACTGGTCACTTGTGAATGATTTTAATTGGCTGAAGACTGATGAACCTTCCCCAAACTGGTTTGTTATTCCAGAGGATCAACGTAAAGATAAATGGATTTTATAAGCTTGCTTTGAAGAGATATCTATACTGTCTTTTATAGTGAGAAACACTTTTAAACATGTACTGTTGCCAGTAAGGGGCTATTCACTCGATACCAGAATGACTTTCATTCTGAAACAAGATCATTCCATCTCTATGTATTTGTTTATGTGATGCAGAAACAACATTTTGTTCCTGTACAAGTCATTCCTGAATGAGTTCATTCCGGTTTTCAATCCAAATGAAATACTCATTCTGGTATCATGTAAACTAAAACTTCGCTCCGGATGGAAAATCACAAATCTTGTAGTCTGGGGCATGTGGCACATGTCTATCTGATCTGGAGTGAAAACCACATAAGTGAGAATGTCTCAGGCTGAGCCGTTCATTTTTATCATGTGAATACAGTAGGAACTTTGCTCTGGACCAAAACACATTCCAGAATGAATGTCCCATAATTGTCATTGCGGTATCAAATAAACAGCCCCTGTATGAGGAACCATTTTTGTTCCCTATAGCTGTATATATTGCAAAAGTTGCCAGGTCAGAAAAACAAGCTGGAATTTACAAGTACATTTACAATTACAATTTACATGCTTGCAGGGTACTCCCCATCAATTTTTCTCCTAAGAATAAGAATACATAAATCAAGAGAAAAGGTTATGAGAATTGACAAAATGATCACTCAAGGGAAAATTCTTTGATTTATACAAATTCTCTTGACGAATTCTTTGGAGAATGTATCGGAGATCAGTCTGGAGAATTTGTATGTTAGATATCGGGGCTTATAAAGTGACCACAACACTCTGTTGCCATGGTGACCATTGTGGAGGGATTCCAATGTTCTTTTCTCAAAGAAAGGTTCGTTATTCATGACTGTTCAGCAATTGCACTCGTGTTTTTAAAAAGCATCTTATTTATTAATAACTTAACAGAACAGACAATAAGTACTTTTTAAAAAAAATGCACTTTATTTGACTGTCAATGTATTTAGCACGAAAGTACTAATTGGGGACACTATTTTTACGTCTCCTAATGGAGATGGGACCACCATTTTATGTGGTGATGCGAGCCACGCAAAGGTCTAGCCGTTTGAAGGAGAAAGGAAGTACCTTCATTTCTCAGTTATTTTAAGACCCTGAGTATTGGTATTGGCAGTAACGCACTTTACCGACCGAGCTTAATCTGACCTAAAACCTTCTTTTACATATAAAACCTTTATATGTATGTAAATAATACATACATATAAATGTATTAATAAAATTACAAATACTTAGTATATGTATGGCTAAAATTGTGTCCAAATTGTATGCCTTATAAAGAGCAATTGACATGGATTGTATTTGCAGTCAAGCCAGGTCAAGCGTACCCCCCCAAAATGTCATTAATGAATTTATTATTCCAAAGTCGAATCTGTTGATAGTTATAGATAAATTTTCAGATTCATCTCTGTACTGTTGCATGCGTAATGAGCAGTGAATTCACATGCAAGATAGTCATGAAAGCTCTACAGGCTAAGTTTCCTTGAATTTGATGTAAATGTCTGAAGAAATTTTATCCATTCAAAGATTTTTCAATCTGACCAACTACAGTGAAATTCTCATAAAATATTCACTGCTCATTATGCATATTAATAAGGAGGGCAGATTTGAATTTGACACAAGTTACAGGAACTACTAACGGATTCATTTTTCAAATAATCAATTCCTTAATAGAATCATGGGGGGTATGCTTAACCTACCTTGACTGTAAACTGTCATTTAAATGCAAAACTTTCCCTCCCTCCACCCCATTTAGGCAAGTAATTTGTTCGAAAAGTTTGCTTTGCTTGCAAAAAGTACTATAGACTGCAAATAAGTATTTCAGTCCAAGAATGTTTTCGTAAGGGCATGAAAAGCAATGACACAAACTTGCTCAGGAAAGCAGAAAAAGTAGTTCCTTCCCCCACGAGAGAAGAAAATGCCCTTTCGTCCCCTCCCATGGTGAAATATTCTTCTCGGAGTGCCAGGTTACCAAGCACCTCAAAAGAATACAAAGCGAAGCGATTTGAAAACAACATGGGAAAGATACGAAGAGCTCGCCAAAAACTCCATCTTCCAGCCGTGAAACCCAACAACGAAAAGGACAAACAAGATGTAATGAAACCAAATGAGGTATGTCAAACATGTCCACTCTAAGTTCTGTTGCCAGTGTCGATAATCACTCGTGAATCTTCCAACTTTTTTAATCGTTTCTCATTTACGCCCACGTGGATAATTTTTACTGTTTTTACTTAATGTCAGATATAATTGTAACAACTGTTTGTTCTGTAATCAAATTTATCTTAAAGTTGTTTATCTTGAGGGGGTAAATTTTCGCACAAACTATTGCCTGGTCCCACGATTCCCGCGTATGCTGTCTCCGTTAGCTTTTTGCGGGCGACAAGCATTCTCGTCCCCAGAGCCACTCGGCTTAATTTGTAACCGACCTCGTTTCCCTATCACGTGACCAAGAAACGACGGGCTCTTCTCTTCTTATCACGCATGCGTCGCATGTATGTAGCCAGCATTCTTTTCCGCCTCCACTAAGAATGGATGGAATGCATAGAACGCAATTTGATCATGCTCGTCTCGACCTTCTGCCCCTCGTAATCTGATAACGTGTGTTTGGACCATCTGTCAAATGAAATGTGCGCAATGCACAGCGATGGAGCAAAAGCGTTTGGACCTTCGAGCGCGAGCGTTGTCGCCTGCACTCCCTAACCTTTGGTCATTACAAGTGCATTTAATATACTACACAATGTTATCTTAGGGTCCCCATTAGAAATTTTCATGATCTGCAGCATCACAATGGTTGGAAAAGTAGAACCAGTTTCAACTCCTCTGATTAACTAGACCATGTGCTGTACATTACCACACATGCCAAGGCCAAAACTATGTTTCCACATACCTGTGATGTGGCGCTGTGGATTGGTCGAAGATCACGTTCCAGACCGTCACACACCCTTACAGATCATATGGAGAGTAGGCTTTTCTACCTTATCCCGGCTCCTTCTTCCCTTTCTAACTACTGCTGGTAATAATTATTGAAAGTATCTTCTCTTTATGCATGGTTCAATTTGACCTGTTACCATGCCCTCCTGGCAAGGACTGTGGAGACCATTTTAAAGTGGTAGGGATACAAAATCTGGCCAATACAAAGAAACATTCAAGTCGGTGTTTCGCCATTTATCTTGCATTTGCACGCCATCTTACAGTATGTACCACCTCAAAGTCCACACATGTTATACTATCCAATATAGCCAATATGTTAAATAAACCTTTCTAAGGTTGCTACTTTTTGAAGTTGTTGACAGTGCCGAAGCTTCTCTTGCGATTCTCATTGCGAGAAAGAAAGTCTTGTGATGTCAGCTATAGAGACAGTGTCTGTTCTCCGCTTGTGACTGTTCACCACTGCTAGGTCACCCATCCTGGATGGAAGCTACGTCTTCAGACGCCGTGCAGATGAGAATGCACACTTGCCAACAGCACTAGTTCCAGGATTTACAGTAGGCATGCAGATAGTTTGGGCTCCTGAATTACAGTGTAGCTTCTTTTCTGGTTCTGGAAACTTTGACACAGCCAACTGAATTTCATCAAAACATGATATCTTCTCTTTAACGTAACCTCCAAAATACTTAGTGGCATGCCCAGGTAGCGCCCCTGTATCAACATCTTCACTGAATGATGCTTCAAGAAACTTAAAATCTGCCTCATAGTCGTCACCATTAGCAGCTTTAACCAAGAGGGTCTCCATCTGGATGTAGCATCTGAAGCTTTCCTGATAGATAGCACTGACGATAAGATGAATAGCCTCATAATAGACCCTTCTAAAGTGATCATTGGCAGTTTGGGGGTATATCCTCTGTTAGGGACCCCCGCATTGATACCAATCCAACCTCCTTGCTTTCTTGGAAGCGTTGGTCCACCAAGCAGGCCTTCACTCTTGCAGGAAACGTTAGCATAGAAATGGTCGAAGCTCTGATCGCTGGGCATTTTTGAGAGCATCTCCTTTGTTTTCTTTAACAAAAAATAAATCGATTTGAGTTTGCATCCTATGCACTTTTGAAACATTCCTTCAAATACAGACTTTAATTTTGATGGTTATTCCAACAAATTCCTGCATTTTCCGTTGAAAATACATAGTCTTGAGTTCCGCAGTTTCATGCAAACTGCAAAAGAAATAACACATACTTTGCAAAATCAAAGAGAAATACTCTGGCCCAAACGGTTGGACTTGTCCAAGGGGTTGCTGTGGGGGTGGGGGGGGGGGGGGGGCGAGGGAAAAAGTTCATTTTAAACCAGGATTTAGAAAATTTTTGTTAAAAAAATTAAAGGCTAATTTTGTCTTTTATTTTTATTTTATTTTTCTTCCTTTTTTTCCCCCTCTTGACCTTTTTGTTGCAAATGTTGTTTAAGCAGACACTTCTCAAGCACAGAAGGGGCAGAATAAAAAAAAGGATAGACGGAAAGAGCGCCATGAACAGTTCCTCAAAAGTAAGCTTTAGTTTACTTTGTATTTCATTTATTATTTTTAATTCACTGAGTTTCTCATACAGGTTTCGTATAGCCTATTAGGGATTCTTTACGTAGGCCCGGTTCAAACACGGAACTTGTCATGAACCGAACTTAATACATTGAATTAAGTCCATGAATAGTTTGGTGGCTGAATCAATTAGGAACACCTGTTTCACTCAGCTGTGCTTTGCGACTAGCTCGGCCAAGAATTTTTACTTTGGAATGTCTTTGGAACAGCTTTGATTCAGACACTGAACTTTTCATGTAGCCAACCTACTGCGTAAATTATCATAAATGAGCATTTTCCTCCTTCTGAATTTATTTTGGCTGGAATTAAGATCGGCATCTGAATCAATTCAGCTGGTCTAAATAAATTGGGTTGGCCTTAATTCAAATTACATGTAGGTTCAGCTCATGAAAAGTTCAGTGTCTGAACTGGGCCTTAGCCTGTGGAAAAACCTATATTTGCTGAGTTCTTGACGTAATATATCAAACGTGAGATGCAGTGTTTCATCACCAGATGAAACACCGAGAAGAGAGTTGAAAATACGACGCGCAGCAGAGTATTTTTGACGAACTTCGAGGTGTTTCATCTGGTGATGAAACACTGTGTCGAATGTTTGATATTTCTTCTCAAACAAAATCATTTTTGAAGGAGAAATTAAGGATACAAATACTAAGCAGTGTTTCATCCGATTTCCAAACACTCATTAAACATTAATTTCCTTTGTATTTTCTTAATGAATTATTAATGAGTTTGAGAAAGTCTTTTTCTGTTCATGAACCACAGAGTTGCATGCTGGCCGACGTGTAGAAGAAGACAGCAAGAAAGCAAAACAGCGAGCCCAGACCATTGTCGTTGGTGACATGGAGCCATTGCTGTCAGCTTTGCCGACCATAAACATACCTGAGCTTGTCAAAAGCACAAAATCCACTGACAACAGGTAGAACTGAATAAGATGAACTCAGTGCTGATAGTATTTTACAGAGTGTACATTTTACTTCTATGTGTCATGTATTTTACATGTATTTGGGTCATATGTGGCTCATCCAACTTTTATCTTAACCTTTGATAGTCAGCATTTAAAAAATGTCTAAGTTGGTATGCCTCTGAATTTGTGACTGATACATGGCCATCAACTTAAAATTATTTATTTTCTGCAGTGGAGGAAATGAAAAACCAAAAAAGAAGAATAAGATGAGGAACAAAGCTCGGCAGGCTCTACAGTGAGTGTGTAATCCCTTATTAGTTAGTCAGAGGGAGGGTTGATTAGCTTTGGTAGATATGTTGATGCCAACATCACGACTATCTGTGCCAGTGACTGCAGAGACAGAACCGGTACTTTCCTAAACCACCCACAAGACCTTTGGCATCTATGAGACTTGCTCTTTTTTAGCTTCTTTATCAAAACATTGCATTAGGCCCACTTCAAACATCAAACTTTTCATACGTGATTGTTAGGTAAACCAAGCCTGAGAATATTGTTACATGCGCAATATTGCACACTATTTTAACTCAACGACAACAACAACAACTAAATTGTAAGTATTTCCTACTGATTCTCCATTCCTACTCATCCTACTGTTCCTACTGATCCTACTAAGATCCTACCGATCCTCTGTTCCAACTGTTCCTTCTGTCGCTGTGTTCCTACGGATCCTCTTTTCCTGCTGATCCTACTGATCCTGTGTTCCCACTGATCCTACTGTTCCTGTGACCCTACTGATCCTCTTTTCCTGCTGATCCTACTGACCCTGTGTTCCTGCTGTGTACCCTCATTCAAACTATTTCCCTATGACGTCAGTCAGGTCGTCGTACACCAGCAATGAGCCAATTTGGGTGTACCATAAATTGAGTTCCAGTGTCCCAGGTGGGAATTTCAACTGTGGAGTGACTTTGTTTCAAACATCGAACTTTTCATGTGGCGAATCTAATGCATCAATAACTATAATTTATTTTGACTGGTTAAGCATTGTAGCACATTGTACTATTGGAACATTGTGAAAATGAATTGAGTCCGACTAATAAGGCTCGATGTTTGAATCAGCCTTCAAATTTGTATCATTTGGGTCGACCCAAATAAGTATTTTAAAGTTCGGTACATGAATGGTTGGACATTTGAACTGGGCCTTAGTTACATCAAACCTTAGACACCTTTAGACCTCATTTACAAAGCCATATCTGATTTAACAATTAATGAATGAGGCTGAGTATCTTATGAAGAATTATGGAGATCGAGGATAATTCTACATATGATACAAAAGCGGAATGTGTGGTTCCAAAAATTATCCATACCTCCCTCATGGAAGGGATTTTTCCTTTGACCCCCACATCTCTGGAAATTCCAGTCAAGCTTCATGCATTTACTAAAGTTTTTGGGCATTTGAGAACCCCCCACCCCCCAGGAATTTCCAATCCCTTCTATGGAGGTAGTATGGATATTTTCTGGAACTACAATTCAATAATTGTTTTATTATTCATTCAAAGTAATTCCCAGTTTAAAAACATAGCTAAAACATGCTTACCTCCATCAATGTTAAGTTCATCTCTGATAGTGCACGTTTAGGGTTGTTCAGCTCGGCAAATATTCTCCCAGATAGCAGATGTCGCCCTTAGAGTTGTCTTCTTGCTGTTCTTGCCATGTTTTTCGCTTTTATTTTGCCTAGTTCTTACTCTTGAAACGAGTGAAATGTCTGCCATTTTTGTTTTCACACCTGAAACAACTCAACCTCATCCCCAGGTTTCTCGGTTAACGGTGCATTAACCTGCAAGGAAGCTGCACTTTTGACGTCATCAGTTGATAAATCGCAAAATTATTCCTAATTTGGTCATCAGTAGCTGGCTATGGTGAATTGTGCATGTGCTTTAGCCAATCAGAATCATGGAAATATTTTGAATGAATAATAATGTAAAGTAAGGTATTCAGAAATGTACGCGTAACACGTTTTTTGCGTGTGTTTGTTTTCAGGGCAAGTGAAATTGCACATTTTCAGCAAGTTCTACAGCATCCCGCTTACAAAGCCAATCCTCTTGCAGCTATTTCTGAGCACATTAAAAATGCTGTGCAAAGAGAGCATGAAAGTCAGACATGACATAAAGAAAAATAGACCAACAGAACGAGGAGTTTTAATGTATCATTTAACTATCAGTCCATGTCTCTGTTTTAAACGTGGAGAAAACAGTCATTATTTCGAGGGGAGGGGGGCAGGTGCAAATATTTAGTGGAGTGAATGATGGTTTGCGTAAATAGAGAGCTTCAGCAACAACCACGTCTACGGCAAAAAAAGCAATAGTTCTAATTACACAAAAACAGCTTTGCACGTGCAGCATGATTTTTGGTACATTTCCTTGCTGTTCCAGCACGACCACCACGTGACACTTGCTAATTTGAAGTTTTATGGAGGGCGTGAACAAGCGGTGGCGAAATTTTCTTTCTCTTTCTGAGCTTGGATATCATTCGTAGGAATTCAACTCCGGGAGAGCTCGCCTACAATTGACCAAGTAAGTGATTTGGAATGATCGCGATGAAGACTAAAAGAACGTGAATTCGCTTTTTAAGCGACGTTGCTAAAGTTCCCCAATGGCAGAAATGTAGTCTTAATCCTTGAAGAAAAGACAGGTCGCTCCTTTGGACATAGGTTAATGCAGTTTGGATTGTTAACATTGACGAAATAAAAATGAACAGATAGACATTTTAAATAATCGATGAGAACGAAAAGCGCGAGGAGTATTTGTTCATAACATTTGTTTCGGTCTCCAATCATGCGGACAATTGGGGGACCTTTTCATGGTGTACAGAACGAATGCGCTGTAGCAACAGGGACAAGGGGCTCTGCAGAAGACATCGTCTCGGCCCCAAAGGGCCCCTGCGGAAGAGATCGTCTCGGTCCCAATTGCTTCGTTACCCTGGAAACGATAAGGCACCCCCTTTCTTGGGGACCCTTTTTTTGTTTGCCATGTTTGAAAAATGTTTTCGTGGAACCCGTGCAAAACTTTGCTTAAAAAAATAGTAACTGTTAACAGGAACTGACAACTGTTATGTAAGACTTCCTTGAAGTGCTGCTTGTTTACTGTTTGTGTGACAACCGTGCAAAGGTGTTCCCTCACAAATTGGTTATCAGGCAGTCGACTCTTGTAGAAATCCTTGTAACCTTGATTTCACTGAAGTGTTTCTCCTAATAAAAGCCATTTATCCTTCTTCTAACAGACTCTGAAACTTGTTTATTTTCGCTGTTTACATAACAAGCTAAGCACGGATGGAATTAGAATAAATTATGTCGTTAGTTTACTTTAATGAACTACTCCGCAAGGAAATATTTAGCTGTTGCGAATTTCATCTTGCTCAGCTTTTGCTTCATTTCTATCACGAATAATCGGTTTTATTCGTTTGAAGGATAAGTTCAGGAATTCTACTCCATGGCTGAGTTAACCAATAGCATGGAAACAACCCCAGCAGACCCAAGTAAGTCTTAAATCTTGTTAATGTAGCAAGGAATGCAACAAGTTTCGCCGATTAATCTCTTTATGCACAGAAGCGACAAAATGTACCAGACAAAAGTTAAAGCTTGGGTGACTGAACTTTGAAAATATTAACAAAGAAAACGATACAGAATAAACGTAATGCCCATGATTTGGCTTCATGAGAATTTAATTCTCCCTAGTGGCTTCATGCACAAATTAAAATGTTACTTGTTAAACGGGATTTATATCACGTATGTATGGAAGCCAGTTGAAGATTGCCAATGAATAAACTTATTACTTCTGTGCTGTTGAGCACAGCGGTACCTGTTCCACCCAATTCCTGTGAATAAAAATTCCGTTCAATGCCTTATTTAGTCAAGAACACAAAAATCGAAGTTGACTGTTAGTGTAGCGGAATACAAGGTGGAGTCTCATAGAATAATCCCTCGGTTCACTACAAATACACTTTTAAGTCGTGTCGTATAGGAGTCTTTGGAAAGTGGGGGGGGGGGGGGGGCCAAAAAAACAACAAAAAAAAAAAAGCATAAAAAGCATTTTTTAAAAAAAAAACGCTCGTTTTGTACAGAAAGGAGAAAAATATATAAGAGAGATGGGTTTTTTCAAGTTGAATTTTTAAACTGATTAACTGAAAGAAAAAAGAGAGTAATGATGGAGAGAAAAAAAATTTTTTTGTTGTACCTCGTGGATCTAACCTTGTTCACCCTAATCTTTGAGATAAAAATTGCGTTCAATGTCTTATTTTGTACAAAAACAAAAAATCGGAGTTGTCTGTTAGGTGAGCGGGAAAAAAGGGGGGATACTCAAAGAAAAACCCCCGGGTCACTAAAAAAACACTTTTAAATCGGGGGGTAAAGGGGTCTTTGGAAAGGGGGGGGGGGGGGGAGGACATAAAAGCAAACAAAATAAACAATGACTAAAAACAGTATTTTACAGCACAACCGATCGTTTGTACAGTAAAGTGAAGATTCATTAAGATGAATTGGTTTTTTCGAAGTTGCATTTTAACATCGATCAATGTAAAAAAAAAAGCAGTTAACCAGGGCGTGAAATCAACTTTCTTGTAGGAGCCTCTAGGCTACTTAATTGATATTTCAAAGTGGTGGCCAGTTCAACAAAAAACTAAAACTAAAACAAACGAGGAGATAACGGTTTGCTAAAGAGCTGAGACAGCTTGAGACCGTCCAAAAGTACGAGTTTTGAGACTAACTGATTGGAGTTAACAAAGGGGATCCCTACAACGAATATACTTGAAAACCAAGATGGCGTTCACCGACGGATTATCCCAGTGAAGACTCAGTGAAGTATGTGTCATTCGCGGCAACAGACATTGCATTGCAGTTTTCACGTCCTTTTATCTCGCGATTGTGACCCAGATTCTTGTGAAGCCCGGGCTTAATGGCTTAAAGGCAACTAAGCCATCTGGCCACTGCTAGAAGATTCATACACCTTACTGAAACGTGCGAACTTTATATTTTAATGAAACGATTTGCAAACTTGTTGCTCTCTCTTTTGTGACGACTAACGAACTCTGACGCATCATTCTAGCTTCCGACCATATGTTTTACAGTTGCAGATGTAGTAATTTTCAAGCTTTTTGTTTGTTTATTTGTTCGTTTTTTCGCTTAAGCTTTCCATAGGGTCATAAATTGTATGGAACAGATTCGTCTCAAGCTTGATAGCCAAGAAGATGACGTTCTTTTTCTGTCCAATTATTTCCAAAGTAAAGACTTCAGAAAACTATTCAAGGTAACTGCTTCTTACTTATTCCCCGTTTTATTCTTTTATTAACATTCACCTAAGCGAAATGGTCTGGAGTCTGATAAAATAATTCTACTCGAAATAAAACTGAAAAAATGATAAATTTTCGGCGAAGGAGGACTGTGTGTGATGGCACAGACTGAGCCCAAGTCAACTAAGTAATTATAAACAGTGTATTTGAGCTAGTATTTCAAAATAAGACGAAAAAGACGAAAATGTCTTCCATTTGTCCTCTAAAAATTAAAACTTGCCAATTCCATTGAAAGCGCGCCTTGGTGGGACATTCCAGGTAGGCAACAAGCGTAACACTCCATTATAGGCCCCCTGAGGTGCAAGTACTCCGTTGCGCGTTTTACGTCATTTTCTTTGTCTGTATACCGTAAATGACCCTATAGACAGCAACTTCCAAATAGACGCCTTTAATCTAATAAACGCCCCCACCTCCCTCTACGCTGTTAAAATTGTATTAGGCGCCCCCCTCGAATGAACGTCCCCTGTCTAATAGACGCCCCCTATGAAAATTACTCCAAAAACCTTGGAATAACATCCGAATAAGCAAAAAGGAACAAAATAATTCGATTACTTCAGTTTCTTGCTTGATTAACGGGGCTTTGCGTATTTCTTCTTGTTCAATGTCAAGTTCGAAGTATGGATGGACCATTGATGGCATCACAATAACCCTGAGCCAAGATTCTGACATTGATATTAGGATTTGAAAAGACGATATGGATCTCTGGACGGCCTAGACGTATCTATTGATGGCGTAAATATATTCCGCTGTTTTTCAACTCTCTTGATATTTTCGCCGCAAACATATTAGTTTTGTTCAGCTTGTAACAGTCATGAGAATAAACGACTCCTAAAAACGCCTCCGCTTAGACCCCCAAAATTAAATAGACACCCAAGGGGTTTATTAGTTCATTTACGGTATGTTTTATACATTAATCATAACTATAACAAAATTCCCAAATCTGATTGGCTATCAACTGTGCTGATTTCGGCACTAATTGGACAGTGTGATAGGACAGTACACATCATGCCTATGTAATTGGACAGTACGCGCCATCGCTCGAACGCACTTAAATGGCCTCTTTTATTCACTCCTAGCAAGAAAACTCTTGGCATTTCTGGAGTTTGAATTTTCAAAAAAGGCTAAAACATAACACATGTTGTTATAGTTATCATTCATTGGTAATAGAGCTTCGTGTCACCCAATTTTGTCCGTAATCATTCTCCTGATTAAACAAATCGAACTCCCACTACGCGGTCGTCCAATTTTGTTAATCACTCGTTTGATTACAGACCAAATTAAACTCCACTCAGTCCTATTACCATTATATATATATATATCTGTAAAATCAACAGGTTCGTACCGCTATGGCATATTCACTTGATGGTGGCATATCACAAGATGCAGAAAGAGGAACAGCAATAGAACTTACAAGACAGGTCAGTACTTTTGCTCCCACGCGTTTCAATGTTATCTTTTCAGTTTCACACTTTGGTGACGACCACCGATTCGGAACCAGGAAACCAAAACAACGCATTTTTCACCAATTCCTCTTCATTGCGTTGAATTTCGCCCAGTTTCTCTACCAATAGCTAAGCAAAGTGTTACAACAAAAACAGCATATTTTCCAACAACTCGGGCATAATAATTAAATAGATCGTCATCTTTTTCAAGCATGCGCAAAAGCCAAAATTTGGACTTTTTTTTTTTTTTTGGCAAATCCATTTTAATCTTTCTCTTTCCCCTTTAACCCCCTGTAACCCCCTGTAACCCCTTGTAACCCTTTGTAACCCCCTGTAACCCCCTGTAACCCCTTGTAACCCCCTGTAACCCCT